GTTTTATATCTGGTAAAGTTTGACACCTTTAGAGAATTTCACAGCTCATAGGAAGTGCTTTTTAGTTGCCTGCTCAAACCACCATAGTTGCTATAATCTCTCACTCACCTCCAGTGATGTGGCATATCCCAGTCTGCGTTTTTTGGCAAGGGATAAAATGAGAGCTGTAAGGAATTGGTGCCATTGTAAGGCAAGTGTTTCAAAAGGGACACTGACTCCGGATTTCTAACTTCATTTCACTGCCAGAGGAAAGACACAAGCATGGCGAAAAATATCTCAAGCCAAACTGGTGGAAAATTGAAAGTGGTCTGGGGTTTTAGTGTAGCCGACAGTTATTGGCAGAGCAAATAATAAAGGCTTGGATTGAGAATTTTCTTTTTAAAGGAAAATTATAAGGACTGCCAATGACCCAAAAATGTTGAGTCCAACTTTTAAAAGTGGAGTCTCATTGTTTTGAAATTATTCTTGTCTTTGACTTTATGAATTGTTTATTTGGGCATTTTATTTGTCCCCATCAGTATCAAGACAAACCTGAGAGGTTAATTTATAGTGACAAAATTCAGACAAAAAATTGTTTTTGTTGTTTGCAAATAACGCAGACTGACAGCTTGTAATGACACAGACTGTTAAGAAAATATGTGCTTCATACTGTATGTCCATGCTGGAATTATACTGCAAGCCATATTGTTTCCACAGTTTTAGCTAACCATAGGGCGCTGCTTCTCACAACTGAGGGTCTTCTTTGCATCACTCTACATTAACATAAATGATGATGAGCAGCTCTGCACATGCCTTATCTTGTATCAAAATTWGCTTCTCTCCTGCTCTCACACGCAGACATCATTAAAGGGTGAGAGGAGCAGTGTGAAAGTGGAGCAGTGCTGACCTATTTTGCTGGTTATAGATGAAGGGACACGTCTAGTTAATGTAGTTTCATTGTGTGGTGTACTCCATGCAAAACACTCCATATTCAACAAGCTTTAATTAATTAGCATTTTCTAAAATATACTGTAAATCTATTGCACAGATAGTAAGTAAAGTTTGTGATTTTATCAGTTTAGTTTGATGGCACCAATGCCACCAGCCAGTGGTGGCTGGTGGTGATACAGTATTTGTATGGTTGGCTGACAAGAATATATACAGTATAAATACATAATATGTATTTATTCATGTTTATTACTAGAAATGTTTTCCTAAAAATCATCCATAAAGTGTGTGTGTATGTGGGGGCTTTTATACATGGGTTATTGATAATTAGATTTTTTTATGCATTTTAAATAAAAAAATGATCACATTATACATGA